AAAACCTTAATTTCTTTTCGACTGAAGAAAGAAAGACATGAACTTCTTGGATGACATGGGGGTGAGTAAATTATGAGGAAATTGTCATTCAGAAGTGAACTAATTCTTTAAGGATAGATTTGTTTCTTACAAACATGCAGCTTTTCACTTCGCAAGATGTTAACTGATGGACTAAAGTGGTGAGAATTACTTGTGGATTATTGTGATGTTTTTATCAGCTGTTTGGACTCTCGTTCTGACGGCACCCATTCACTGCAGAGGATCCGTTGGTGAGCAAATGATGTAATGCTACATTTCTCCAAATCTGTTCTGATGAAGAAACAAACTCATCTACATCTTGGATGGGCTGAGGGTGAGTACATTTTCAGCAAATTTTCATTTTTGAGAGAACTATTACCTAAAACTCAACAATCGTGAAATGGTGGTTGCAACCCAATGTGACTGATGTTCTGCACTGCATTTGCACAGAATCCTTTAAAATAAGACTAGGATAATTTATTACAAAATCAATGTGTTGATTTTAATTTCATGTTAACGTTAATCAAAATCATGCACACACACTTTTCTTTTAAGAGTGTTCTGCATGTCAGAGTAAACATTTTAGTGCATTTAATGACCCCAGAAATGAATCCAGTGCAATTAAACACAAAACATGCACTAATATATTCTCTTTTCAGGGCACTGGTCAAGATGAGCCGATCCTTTAGGCCATTCATTAGTTTTGTCGGATTCACTCAACCAATGCGATCAGTCAGGGCTGATTAACACTGCCTGATAATTTCATTAACACTCCAAGGCAACAGATGCTCGGCTGTGAAACTCTTGTGTCAGGATGTTTACACTAAACTGTTTCCTCACGTTTTCATGGGGAAACGTTAAAAAGGGCCTTAATTTGTCTGTTCGTTTGACAGGTTCTGTCACCTTTTTTAAATACTGCCAACCTGATAAGCGAGTGTAAAAGCCAAAGGCTCAGAGCTGCTAACCAACAGATTGATGGGTAGATCCCAGCAAGAAGAAAAGCGTCCACATTTTGCCCTTCAGCAAAACACCGATTGCTCCAGGGGGGTTGAAACTGAAACTAGAATAGAGCAGCGTTTGCCTGTGCAAAATTCAATATTGTTTTTCATCTGTAAGTTGTTTGGTAAAGACTAAGATGAATGACAAATGTAACACTGTTTCTGGAAGCTACCACATAATATCTCAGCTGAGGTTGAGGGAGGAATTGTAGCTTAAATAATAATAAATAAATCCTTTCTTAAAATTATAATAACACACTGTTCCAAGACAGCTAAAATAATTAGTACCATATAAATATGAAAATAATACATTCATTAATATTAGTATTAAAGTAGTTCATGTGTTACAATAATGTGTTGCAATGCTATAAATGTTAAATTAGAATAATAAATGATAAGTCTCTGATGCTCACCAAGGCTGCATTTATTTGATCTAATTTCTATTTTAATTAGTGCTGTCAAACGATTAATCATTTGACAGCACTATTTTTATATATATTTTAAAATATAAATAGTAATTTAAATAGCATTTTATTTTTTATTTTTGCATTTCATATTATTATTAATGTTGAAAACATTGTGCTGCGTACTATTTTTGTGGAAACCATGATGCATTTTTTTCAGATTATTTATTAAACAGAAAGTTCAAAAGAACAGCATTTATTTGAAATAGTAAACTTTTGTAATAATATCAAATGTCTTTACTGTCACTTCAAGCAATTTAATTAGCTGGCAATTCATAAAGTGTCTCCTAAAATGACTACTACAATCTTTAGGTTGTCCACATCTCATCTACTTTTACTCTTTCCCCTCAATCCTTCCCTCACAGCTACGATTCTTGTCTTTTTTATGCTGTAGGACACCACTGCTCAAAGAAAACTCGAGAAAGTCTCACCAATTCCCAGTGACTAGAGAATCCTCTATGTGAATGATGAAGAGGTACTGAGCTGAAGAGAAGCTGTCAGTCACCCTCCCCTCAGCAAACCTCCAGGGCATCAGATGCAAACCTCTCGTTCGGAGGAAACTACAATAGAAAGCACTTTCCAAGATCCACTGTACACATGCAGGCCGCCAGCCCACGGTATAGCTACAGGATAGCAGATATTACGCAAACCGCCCTACTGTCAGAGCTTTTATAATGGCAGTGATATTGCATACAACACTGTATTCTGCCACATGCTTAACTGAAATAATACCATAATGCCAGCCAACACATTACGCTAGAGATATTACCTAACGCTTATATTTTATGGAACATGCCAGCGTTCAACCGATCTACATCAGCGTTTGTTTTCATATCCGAATAGGGAAATATGATATTAGCAAAACAAACACCTGGTGATGGATTCAGAACCAGACAGAAGCCCATCGTATCCTGAATCAACAAACCCACACAAGTACAATCAAATGAATCATTCTATGAAACGGATGCCTTTTTCATTTTTTTCATCTTTTAAAATCTATTTATTTTGAAATACTTTGTAAAAAATTTAAGTTTTAATTAAAAAATAATTTTAATTAGAGTAAATGTTATACATGTATAATGTAATTCATTGCTTTATTGCATATTTATTACAGTTTATTATAATTTGATTAAATTAATTTAAAATATATTATAATAAATGACAAAGGTAAGACTGTTTCTGGCAGCTATAAAAATATTTCAGCTGAGGTGGGGCTGACAATTGTATCACTAGTTATGAAATATGAATTGTATGACTGGATTAAAAAAATAAACTTCAATAATCAGTAAAGTAAGTAGTTTTAGACTTTTTTCCCCCAAAATATATTTTAGTGAAAGTGAGTAAAAACTTAAAATTATATTAAATAAATAATTTTAATTAAATGTATATAAATATAATTTTAGAAATATATAAAGTAATATTTTTGTATTTAATATATTTATATTATACAAACATTTTATTAAATTATTTTATAATATTAAATAATTTGTAAGTGACATTTTAAACAATGTATCAGACAAATAAAGTATTAATAAATTGTATTGTGCCATCTTGAGTCACATTAAAATATTAATTGAAAATAATTATTTAATTTTTCCCATCTGCACTGCTGGTAGTTATGCCACTGGCTGATATTTATACAAATATTCACTTTTAATTAATCACTTGTGTACTATACAAAAAATCATGGTAATGAGGCTTGATAAACAAAAACATCATAAGAAGCAATAACAAAAATGTCTATAATTACCCATACACTAAAAATAAAGGTTCTTTATTGGCCTATTATATTCTAGGTGGTTCCATTGCACAAAAGTTTTCCATCTGGAAAAGGGTTCTTTAGATTATTTTTAAAAAGGGTTCTTATAAGAAAGGTTCTTTGGGGAACCTAAATGGTTCTACTATGACATCACTGTGAAATCCCCTTTATTTACACGTTAGTGAGTCAAAAGACACCGGTTTTGTCAAATAACCCAATGCTCAGGTCTCCATAAATCCACACATTTGAGCCTGTAGTCTTCTGAGAGAGAACTTGTTTTAGTTCCTATCAGACATTTCCTGCGGGACATTCTTGCCCTTTCTATTCAGATTTGGCTTTGTGTATCAGAGATCTGTGGTGAAAGACGGGAAGTGATGTGATGGGAAGAGTTTCAGAAGGTGCAGAACAGACAGTCTGTCACCTAGAGAGTTCTGGCCCTGTGAAAATAACACAGCACCGCCAGAATTGTCTATCTGATTTTTGGGAGAGCTACTGTGAATTTGCTTCAAACTTTGCAGGCGATAGTTCTGTGGTTGAGTTAGGGATATTTCAGTCAAAAATGAGAAATCGCACTCATTTACTCATTCTAAACCTGTATGACTCTCTTTCCTCTGTGGAAGCGGAGCATGAGTCCTATGACTGCTTTTATGGTGCTTTTGAAGCATGAAAGCTCTAGTTCCCATTTATTGTAATGGCATGGAACAGAGCCACCAGCACAATTCTTCTATGAATGAAAGAACACCAAACACAATGATGGAGAGCAAATAGTGACATGAAAGAATTGTTTGTTTAAAATACAATACATAGATTTATTTGAGTCACCAATAAAAAATACTCTCCATATTTTCATGTGTTTTGTTGCATGGAAGAGCTCTCTAACTATCATATCACTAGCGGTAAATAAAGATCGCTAGAGTGTAACTAAGATCTCGTTCCCTTTAACAGTACAGAGTGTGCCAAAACAATGAGAACTCAACTATTACGGGCCGTGATCCAAAATTAACACGAGGGATATGATAACTTTTGTAATCTAACCCTTGGCTTCTAGTTATGGAAAGAGCTGGGTTCAGTACAAATTTAGTTTTAAGCAATTAATCACAGCTGTTGTCGATTTCTAGACAATTTCAACTCATCATCTACAAACTCTTATGCTCTGTGCAATTCAACTCATATTTTCAACTACACTTTGCCACTTTGACTCGGAAGCTAATGTGGAAATCTAGAATTTAAATAACTGTACAGTTGCAAAGCAAATGCTTTTTGCCATTAAATTGCCATTTTGTTTAATTAAACATCATATTCTGAGCAGACTAATAATGCATGTCGATTTCTAGACAATTTCAACTCATCATCTACAAACTCTTATGCTCTGTGCAATTCAACTCATATTTTCAACTACTGTAAATGAAACAAAAGCCACTTTGACTCGGAAGCTAATGTGGAAATCTAGAATTTAAATAACTGTACAGTTGCAAAGCAAATGCTTTTTGCCATTAAATTGCCATTTTGTTTAATTAAACATCATATTCTGAGCAGACTAATAATGCATGGTTAGCGATGTCAATCTAAACTGAATAGAACACAACATTAAAATGTTTAAGTCTACAGAGGAAGGAAAAACACTAAATATACCCACAAGACTTATTATTATATGGGTTAACATCCCCAAGACTTAATATGGCTATTACACAAATATTATATATTACATGAATATTATTAAAATATTAGGCTATATGAATTAACATGAGAGTAGTCGCTTACCATTCTTGCATGTGTAGTTATCTCTTGTAATGGTCATGTAAAGCTGGTCAACCTGGAATCTTTAGCATGATACCAACAGGAACTACATGATAAACTACATGTAAAATAGTACTGTTTGTAGCAAACCACACTCACATTATGTCGGTAAAGATACACTCACGCAGACAGTAAGTTATGCTTGCTAGTAGGCCTTCCTTTACTAGTCAAAAATAAAATAAATAAAATACTACAAGATATGACACTCGAGTCGTTTGTCTTAAAGGGGTCCTACTATGCTTTTTCACTTTTTCAACTTTAGTTAGTCTGTAATGTTGCTGTTTGAGCATAAAAAAAGATCTGCAAAGTTGCAAAGCTCAAAGTCCACTTCAAAAGGAGATATTTTATTTAACAGAAATCACTTTTCAAAAACTACAACGAACGACTCGTTTGGACTACAACGCATATTTTCCGGGATTTGTGACATCACAAATATCGACGAATGGGACGAGACCTGGTTGAGCTGCACTAGAGAAGGCAAGGAGTGTTATCACTGTGTCAGATACACGCTAGTTTCCCCAAGGCAGACGAACTTAAAGTGGTTACAATCATCCGGGTTTAAATCGCGCTCAAATTGATTTGATTTTGACTCAATATTTACACTGAAGCTTGCAGGCGGCTATGGTAAGGGGCGTGTCATTTCTCGACCAGGCGCCGAGTGCTGCCAATCACAACGGGAGAGAGGTGTTGTAATAATGTAAAACATGTGAAACATAATGTGTTTTTCGGACAACCTAGTATAAGAGCCTGTTCTAGTACACCCCCAAAACAAAACCTCTGCGACTATCAACACACGTTTGACCAATGATAGTCTGGTAGGATTTGATGATATAATAATTGCAACTAATAATAAAACACAAAGAACAGTTTGTAGCATTAAAGACATTCTAACGTATGCGTAAACCTATTATTTTAGTAAGTATTTTTGAAGCAATGTTTAACACGCATACGTGACAGTTTGTTTTATAAAAGCAAAAACATATATAGGCAATATTGTTTAGCTGCTTATAGTGTATGAAAACGCTGTTCCTTTAACCTAGAATCTGGAAACGTCAAATGGAGCTGGAATTTACACTGGACCAAAATAATCCAAACGCAGAGAGGTGTCTTTTCCTTCTCATTTCAGATCATCACACACCATGCGCTGTCGGAAAATAAACATGCTGTGGGGAGAATATGCTTCTAGTTTAAAATCTGAATTCAGGGATATAATGAATGCTTATTTGTTACTGATAGATAGATAGATAGATAGATAGATAGATAGATAGATAGATAGATAGATAGATAGATAGTGTTTGATCTGAAATAATCACAAGCCCACACTTTTTTAACCAATCAGAAATGTTATGACATACATGAAGAACTCATTTCTGAGAATGGTGTGACAACTAACCCCAGTCTTCATTTTACCATAAAGGCAATTTAAAACTCCCAGCGGAGAGGCTAGTCTCTACTTACATTACCAAATGTTTTTCCCAAATCAATACACAGTGAAGCCCATATGATATGCTTCTATGCTTCTAGTTTAATTCATGGATATAGTGAAATATTAATTGTTACTGATAGATAGATAGATAGATAGATAGATAGATAGATAGTGTTTGATCTGAAATAATCACAAGCCCACACTTTTTTAACCAATCAGAAATGTTATGACATACATGAAGAACTCATTTCTGAGAATGGTGTGACAACTAACCCCAGTCTTCATTTTACCATAAAGGCAATTTAAAACTCCCAGCGGAGAGGCTAGTCTCTACTTACATTACCAAATGTTTTTCCCAAATCAATCCACAGTGAAGCCCATATGATATCATGCATGACTTCACCGGTCAAGGGAATTCATAGTCCAGTAACAGTGTTATCATTTATCCCACATCTCTTATTTCTGGCTAAAAGGCCGCTGGCCTGCACTAAGAAATGAGATAGACCTCGAGTTTGAGGTGCCGTGAACTCAGTTTCAGACAGATATGCCCGGCTATGTGAGAAGAGCTGGACAGAAACCACATAAAGACCTCCAGCCCGCTTTGAGATATGTGATGCTTTGATGCAATTTTTTTTTTGTCAATCCAGCGGCCTGAGAAGAAAATAATTTCTCTGAAAGCATAATTTTCAAATTCTTGTTAGCTGGGTCTAGCTGCTTTGCGATAATCTTTGTTAATTACTTCTGAGTGAGTGTTCCAGAAAAGAAATGAAAACATTCATCAGGAGAAATTCGCTTAAAGGAATAGTTCACCCAAAAATGAAGACATTTTTAACTTCAAACCATCCTGTATCCTTAATATTGTTTTCTCTGACAAATCTCATCTGAATCAGGAGAGAAACATGCACAGATCAAGTGCCGTTTACAAGTGAAACAAGTCCAAAATAGTTCTAAACATACGGATTTTGATGAGAGAGGACAACAGGGGATGGACTTTTTCGCTGGAGAAAGCTTTATTATGAATTATGGACTCTCTTCTGTGGAACAAAAGAATGATCTTCAATAAGATGTTTAGAGAAAAAAAATTCCCAGTGCAATGAAAGTCAATGGGGTCCAGTGTTGTTTAGATGTTATAAAAAAGGAAGGAGCATTTTGAATGTCTAAACCTTTATATCTACGATCAAGTGACTGCTTCCAAGGCTGTAAGAGCACAGCTCAGTGTTGGCAATGCCATTCACCCGTACAGACTGAGGCACGACACATGTATGGCTCATTGCCCAGCACTGAAACCACTGTGTTTGCTGTAGTTAAAAGTCAGCTGCTGTATATAATGATGCTGTTGCATTTATTTTAAAACAGATAAAGTGAAACTCCTCCTCGTTTTTAGCAGTGCAACCACGTATTTGTTGGATTTTGTGCCAGAACTTTATGCAGCAAAATAATTAACATGTATTTTTTTTCCTGAAAACAGCTAAACCAGTAACATTTATATTATAGATCACAACATTTATATGCATCTGCTGACACTCATCCAAAGTGATGTACATTGCATTCAATGTACCTTTTTATCACTTCATGCATTCCCTGGCAACCAAACCCATGACCTTGGTGTTTTGCTAGCCCACACTCTTCTCTTTAAGCTAGAGAAATGAAGAAAATCTCAGTGACTGACACTCTATTGACACGCTATAGAGAGGTTCCATCCCTCCCTTTCCTTGAGAAAATCTTAATTAGATCTGAGGAGGTCTAAGGATTATCTGTGATTTTCCGGCACTGTCTCCGCTTTTCCTGCCATCTATCAGCCAGTTGCTGTAATTCCACAGTGAAATGCCACCAAACGAGCAAATCCACAATATGCTTAGTTTACTTAGGAAGTGCTGAAACAGGTATTCTGCAGCTAATGTGGGGTTTTTAATATATATATTTTTTTAGTTTTCAGCACCTTTGGAGCATTTCAGGAATAATTCAAGTCAACTTTAAATGGCATTTGCAACCCATTTTTGCTGCTGTAAGGTGATGCATTTTTAAGTGAAACAGGATATTCAATGAGATGAAAAAATCTGTAGAGCAGGAATTGATTTTATTCACCAGGAACTTATAATGAAAAGTAGTGATACATACCAGCACTGCTTATTTAAATCTACTGTTACTTGCTGTTATTGCAGCAACATTAAATTACTGCATTAACTATTGGCAAGATTTTAGAAAGGTTGCATTATCTACAATCACGGACTAAAACCAAGACTATGCAAACAGCTTTTTGGCCATTGGTTTAAATAATTTTGCCTTCCAAAATCCATTTTTCCCTCCCTAGATGAGGGGCTTTCAAAAGGGGTGCAAGGTGTAATTATGAGATTAATCACACACGTGTGTGTGTGTGTGTGTGTGTGTGTGTGTATGTATGTATATATATATATAACATTTTAAAAAATGCATTTATTTATTCCATTTTTAATTTTAATTTTATTAATATAATTTTTATTCCATTGACAGCTTTATATATATATATGTGTGTGTGTGTGTGTGTGTGAAATTAAAAATAAATATTTATTAATAAATAAATATAAAGTATATAAATATATATACACACATTTTATAAAAAAATATATTTTATATATATATTAATATAAATATATTTTATATTTATTTTTAAATTTTATAATTGTTATAAATTGTATAAACATTCCATATATATATATATTTTTTTTATAATGTGTTATATATTAGGAAGGGGGTCCTTTGAAATGGCATCATCACATTTGGGGGTCCATGGCATTGAAGACATCAGTTAACAAGGAAATTTGTTTCAGAGGCGGCGCAAGTATAAGAAAAAGCATTTTATTTTTTTATTTATAACAAAATTACTGATGGATCATCGTTAATAAGAACTTTGATGTGCTTTGAGAAAGTAAATTAAATTTAGTCAATTTTGATGTCATGTTGACTTTAAAGCACACTTGTCACGTTCCTGAACAGACGTTTGGCACTGTGCACCACGTGTTTGTGTATCATTCATTGCATTAGACAGCCCACAACTGCTCTTTAGTCACCATTAATAATAGCCAACAAATGCTCATTGGGTTCATTTCTGTTTTTTAACTTAGTGTGTGTGAGTATTTCATGGAGGAGAACGGGGCCCACACACAGCGAGAATTCACTTGAGCCCTCCCACGCGCTCTCTAAACCATCCTATACGCCGTCAGGAGCCGAGATTGTGTGAGTGGAGCTCCCATGTGGCTTCACATTTCATTTACAAGGCATTCAACTCTATTTTTCGCATGACATTTGGTCTCTTCTGGTGAGCACAGGTGTGCAGACACAGAAAATTATGAAGTTATATTAAAAATACAGCTCATAATTCTGCCTAATGTTAATATATAATATTTGTATACATAATATTGATTTACTCATCACCCCCACACCTCGTAATATCACAGTCTCTTTGTCCTCATGGTGTCTTCAGCCCCCTCCTCTATTTTCTTTTCATCCAGTGGCTCGTGGTCTTTGATGGCGGGGAGGGGCTGGAAGGTGGAACCCAGGGGAGCGGCGGTCAAACTCACAGCTCATGTTCTCTCTCC